GTGTACTGGACTAGAGTCAAACTCTTGGACAACTGCAGGTCCTACATGGAAAGGCACTTCCTCAGGAAGCCTCCCGCGCAAACAGGGCGCCACATCCAAGGCCCAGCCCAGGAACTCACCTCTTGGCCTGGCGGCTGGGGCAGTGCTCCACGCACTCTTCGGGTGCTTCATAAACCTGAGTCTGGAACGGAGATAAGATCTAGAGTTTGGTGTATTATTTCTAAGAACTTCAAATAGATACGCTGAGTCAAATGTCAATAAGGAGTAGCCTAACCCAGGATATAGTTTGATTACAAAGCAATAGCTTTTTCATAATAGGTGGTTGAAACAAAAAAGAAATATTCAATCAATAAAATGATACCAGTATACACATATGCCTAATAAACTGTATCCACAAAAGCTCATGGGAAAAGCTCAGGACACATATTTATGACTTCAAAATTCACCATGATATGCTCAGTAACTTTACTTTCTTGAGAGCTTGGATAAATTCCCTAACCACAGGTAGTTTTGAAAGTTTTTAAATAAGTTAAACAACATTAAAGATCTGGTTCCCCCATAATCCTAACAGGCAGCATAATGGTCAGTGCTGGTACACAGTATTTTTAGCAGCAAGCTGTACTGCACAGCAATGACCAGGATTCTAAGGAATTTTGCCCACACCACGTTATACGCCCCTCCTTACCTCACTCCATTAAAAACCAAAGAGCATTACCCAGAAAGCTAAGCAAATGCTCTGGCTGCTCAGGGAGGGGACTGCTGAGTGATATCGGACATGACATTCGTAGCAAAGGAAATTACAATTTTAAAAACTTCACCAGACTTCTAGATCAAGACTGCTAACTTCAACTCCCTAAATTATGTTTAAACTAGAATAAAACATTAACGTGGCTCTCTAAGGTAGTACACAGGCTAAAGAATCTAGAATTATTTAGGTTCAGTTAGAATATCTTCCATCTATAATTCTGATCAGATTCATTACAACACAGCATTTTGTTAGAACACCAGATGCATTTCTAAGCTGCCTCCCACCCTCTTCAAATAGTATTCATTCTCCTTTTTACTCTGCTTTTAATCAAATGCAGAAAAGCCCACCTGGCGAAACATTTTTCAGGCCTGCCTCTGCTGCAGTAGTCCGTGAGACTCATCTACCCAGCTGGCCAAAATTCAGACTCCTGTTTTCTTAGAGGAGGAATGAGAGAGCTTTTTGTGGGCACCGAGAAGTTCTCTCCTGTTTTCAAAACTTGCTCTCACTGCCAATTCACCTCAAATAGTCTTCGGACTCCTAATACCTACGGGGCTTGACAGCCTCCTGTACCCACCGTGGACACACAGAGTGGAGAACACGACCAATCAGACTGACCCTAGTAGACGAGGGCGAGAAAGAGCGGAGTGGGCTCTGCATCTGCAACTGGCAAACTGAGGAGCCAACACCGCGAGAGACCGAAAATCCTAATATTCACAGCTTGAGCCAGAGTGCTTAATCTAGGACCCTTCTAAATATTCCACCTACATTCCAGTATGCCAGTTTTATAGGGTGTCTTTTAGCAAAGATTTTTAAAGTCCTAGTAGACAGTTGATTTATCTCAAGTTATCATTATTTAAGCTGTAATACTATTCCAATCATACAGTGAATACTTAACTGCAGGAATTTAATAAGGAGTTTCAAGTTTTTGCTCTTTATACAAGTATAAATGATCTCAATGTCTAAGTTTGGATCCTATACAAGTATAAATGATCTCAATGTCTAAGTTTGGATCCTATTAAGATACATAAAGCAAGGGTGCTCTGTGGCCATTAAAAAAATCTGAAAATATAAAAATTCCTTTCTGTTTCACTTATGAAATATAAATATTAATGAAAATCTGTATTATAAATGGCAAGGGGAATAGGAGATAGAAAAGACAGGGAAAAAACGCATCTTAAAATAGAATTGAAGAAAACAATGCAAACAGAACTTTGTCAAATGGGAAGGGGATTAAGAATTGGAGAGCAGGGGGGGTAGGAGGGAGGGGGAAACAGAACGAATATGCATCAACATCCGTGTGCAGCCCCGCACAATAAATATAATCAGTACATACTGCAAAGGGGCAGATAAAAATACACTGATAAAAATGTTGAACATCTACATTATATATATAAAAATTATGCACATACAAAATTAGTCTAACAAATAAGCACATATATTAACAAAAATCTGTACTAAAATAACCAAACGTAAGCATGCACATGCATGGAGGAAAAGTCACCCAAGGAAAGGATGCGCAGCACCACCCTAGCGGACCCTGTTTTCCCATGGGGACAGACCTCGCTTTCCCATGGGGACGCTTCGGACCCCTGCAGGCTACAATCTGGGCATTCTCTCAGGTCGCACAATTCCCTTAGCTCTTCAGCAACAAGGTTTGTATCTTCTGCATCTTCCCTGTCTGTCCGCACTTCAGCCCCACGCTTTCTCTGCTCGCATGTTTTACTAGGGCATCCTCTGGCATCTATAAACTGGAATCCACAGGCTCTGTAATAAGCAGTGCACTCACGTGGCCTGAAGACCAGCACAGGCAGGATTAGGTTGGGTGGCGGCCAATGCCTATTAAAGACATCCACATGTGTGAAACACACTGGCTAGAAGGTGTCAAGTGGGTTTCCCAGAATTTAAACATCTCTTTCTTCGCCCATCTGTTTTAAAAGATAGAAAATATTCTGAAGAACTTGGACTTGCCCTCACCACAGCCTTCTAGAACTTCTTAATGAGCAATTTTACACTTCCAGTGCTGAAGGTAAGCTGCTGAACGATTCCCTCCAGAGTTTTAAAAGTATACCTTGGAATCACTAAGTCTTGAACAGTGAAGAACTGTGGGCATCCCAAAAACAGAGTCAGCACTCCAATTTATCCTGAAGTGTTACACCACCACGATGATTCTAAGTTACTGTGAATTTCAAATCCCAAAGCTTTAAAGCAGTCAGCGGGGCTGTTACACTGAACCCTGAGAACATCCGTCCCGCACCCAGCTTTCTAGACAGCACAACACATTTATGTTGTTGAGTCTTTTCTCCATATCTGTAAAGCAGTTTCTTTACTACTACACTAACCTAAATAGTTATCATATATAATATCCTAATGTTACTGCCAGATAAATGACTGGGGAAGGAAATGAGATGTAATTTCTCTTTATAAAATTAAAAAAAAAATGCAGAAAAAAAGGAATAGACAGAATTTTTTATCAGACTGATGCCAGAAAATTTTAAATGTTCTATGTAAAGTATTTAGGACAGAGGTAACAGAAACTATCTGAAACACTCACTTAAAAGATATGTACTTAGTTTCTGAACTAATGCGTTCACTCTTAGTCACGTAATTTTTTTGCTTATTTTATAGTCAAGATGCAGAAGCAATAGACAGGATCTCAACTGTGTGGCAAAAATCCATACTTTTCTAACACAAATGATATTTTTACCTTTACTATATGAGATTCAACTGGCAATGAATTTTATTTTGGAACAAAATCATTTCTGAAAAAAAAATCTGAAAATATTTTCCTCCTTATTTTCAATTTGAAAACCTTTTTGAATTTTCCTAATTCAAATGATGGGCTATAAAACACAAATGTTTCAAAATTACTGTTTAGTCAATAAGAAGTTATTTAGTCATTTTTACCACTGCAAAATTTTATAAAACTATATGATTCAAAGATAGTATGTGTTCACATGCATTGAAATATTTCTGTATGTGAAGGTGTATTAGGATATTCAACACGGTAATACATTCCTGTGCTATTAAGGAATATTTGTTCACATTTATTTATATTAAGATGCCAAAATGGTGGCTTTGTAATTTAATAAGATACTAATGTTCAAGAATTAGGATAAATAAAAACACACATTTCAAGGCTTGCTGTTTTAACCACGTGATATCTTGAGTGTCCACCATCCTTTATGATAACAAACACCAGGCTACGGGTTAATTTAACTTCAGTCATGTAATACCTGTGACACTCAGATGGACTGGAAACACAGACATGTCTGCCCCAGCACACCATTTAAGGGGGGTCCCGTCAGCGTACAGCGATACAAGAGCTTAACGGGTGCAGGACGGAGAGCAGGCAAAGGGATGGAGCGCTTTCGGTCGGGAGCAGACTACAGTCACCAAATAATTCCACGTATAAACTTCACATCTTGGGCAGGGTTTGCCACACACTTTGGCATAATCCTAAACAGTCTCAGTTCTCTTCTCTTTTTGTTTAACAGCTGGATACTATAAGGACATCCAATTTAGTAAGTTTGAGGGCAGCAATATGAAAGCAAGTTTCAAATTAGATACAATTTCTGATGCAGATCAGATGAAATTCTAGTGCAAATTAGGTGCAATTTCTGATGCAGACTGGTTGCGGACTGCATCACTGCCTGGTCTGACTGCCCAGAAGCGAATCTAAGTGATTAGTTCAGAGAAAAGAGTGCAGCATTCTAATACCCAGGCACAAATAACCGCAGAGTGAAAATGGATCAGCAGTCGCCATACTGCTTAGTACAACCTGAAACAGGCTTATCAGTCAACCAAAAATTACAATCAACACCCAAAATCAGAAATACTGTAATTTACAAGTTTACTACGTAGATTTTCTCAACAGTTTACCAAGCCAAACAAACAAAATGATATTGATTATTTCAACAAACCACAGACATATACATCTCTGAGCTGGAAGGCAGAAATATATTAACTTAAAGTAAATCTTACAACACAAGTGATCCTAAAACCACACCAATGTCTCTGGTCAAGATGTGTCAACGTGCCAGGACCCGAGCAAAATGAAAATGCTACTGGTCAAGCAAAAATATTTCTTTTTACAAATGTCTGGAGGAAAAACAATTATATAAGGGCTGAAAATACCTTAGAGAAAATCTACATGAAAAGAGGGAGCACCAAAAAAAAAAAAAAAAAAAAAAAAAAAAACCAAAGCAAGGAGAAAACACCAAGCCAGCCACTCTCGGCTTGCAGACGCTCTCAAGCCCTCGCTCCAGCTCGTCCACAGCGTCACTGCGGCAGGCCTCAGTCACTCGCAGGCCCCGTGCTGCTGCCCTCGGGGCCATCACTCTCCTTGTCCCAGTCCTTCATGGAGGCCCCCAGCATGAAGTCGTCCCGCAGAATGCTCCAACCTGGGCCCTCTGCTGATTTCACGGCAGTCTGAGGGAAGCAATGGGATCAGTGTAACCATAAGGAAATGTACAGGTCGCAGTACAAAACAAGCTTTTCAACACCTAGTTTTGAGAGCCAAGTAAAACCAACAGCTTCTAAACTGCTTCATTTTTACCCTATGACAAAATATGTACAAATATATAATAAAGCATTATACATTAATAAAATATTTTACCAAATTCATAAAACTCATGAACTCCAAAATGGGGGGGGGGGGTATAGTAAAATCTGTCAAATTTTTTAAGTCTTTTGGCAACTAAAACAATCCGAAGGGATTATTTAAACTTCAGTGATTATTTACTAGGAAGTTCTTGATAAACTTTTCATGTAGACAGAAACTTAACAAACACTTTTAACCCAAAATAGAGGAGAGAAAAAGAAATCAAGCCTGCTACTATGCTAGGCTTTTATACATGCCATATAATTTAATTAACATTTTATAAAAGATCTGAACCAAATCTTTAGAGCAGTGACATAGAGGATCTACATTACTGACCCAGTCACAGAATAAGACTAGTAACAGGCTAAGATTATAAATAAGGGAAGCCATTTTATATCTTCCATGCAGTCACCGGATTGATGAACACCTGAGTCTAGAAAGTACAGGCTTCCAGGCCATGCCTGTAATCCCAGCACTCAGGAGGCTAAGCGGGAGGACTGTTCCGAGTTCAAGACCAGTGTGAGCTACGAAGTGAGCTCAGGACCCGCGGGAGCTGCATCCTGAGACCCTGTAAAGGTTCAGGGTTCCATTGCATGGTACAGCAGCGCCACCTGGTGGCAGCAGGAAGAGGCGGCGTGCGCAGAAGTAAGACTTCAATTCATTCCATAAATACTTAGAACTGTGTACTAGCCCTGCCTTTAGTGTCACAAACACAGAGGCAAGCAGGACAAAGCCTCTGCCTCCGCAGAGCTAGCAGAGTATGCATGTCAACTTATTCCATGTACAGAAATACGTAATTTTAGAAAGTTCTGGGTATGAAAGAATGTAAGCGCCCTTACCATTTGGCTTGAAAACACTTTTATCTTTATTGACCATGTAGAAAACAACTTTTTAAAATGCCTTAAAGACACTTGCTAGGTTGCAACAGACTGTTTGCCCAACGGCTGAAGTTTTACATAAAATGGTACCTTAAAACACTCATTACATCAACAAGGTTTTATAGAAAAGGAAAATATTACAACCAGGGGGAAAAAAATCTCTAGATTCCCTCCTCTATGCCTCAAGTTAAAGACTGAAGCGAAGGCTGGGCCTAACCTGGAGACTGGACTGCACACAAACTTGGGCAAAGATGTCTGCATGGGCACGCTGAGTATCCCCACACTTCAGACTGTGATTTAACCAACATACAGAAGCAAAGCCATCCATCCACACTACGTGAAACAACAAACAATTCCAACGCTCCTCCTGTCAAGCCCACACGAGACCCTGCAGGGAAAGGTCACGCAGAACTCTCCTGCCAGCTGTGTGCTTCTCTCCATCATCGAACCCACCCTCCTGGAAAGGGAAGTGCTGCCGCTTCTGAAGTAAGCTGTCCCCCTGGATCAGAGGCCATTTTCTGATTCATGTCTTGTCAATGCCTTTGCCTTGACTAAAAGAAATAGGTGTTTCCAGCAAACAGTTATCCACTCAGAAACTAGTAGTAATAACACCCCCTGTCAACTTGATTGTTGAAAGCTTTAGATTTCATTCTGAGAAGTGTAGCTGTATGTGAGCACTGACTAGCAGAGGCTTGGCTTGGCTTGGATATCTTCCTTTCCACACGAACTCGTGTGACCTGGGGTTCAGGACACTACAGTTCAGACACTGTCAGCTACCAGCCCCAGCCCTGCAGGTCACACAGGCTGACCACATAGGGTTTCCAGCTCGTGAGACCCAGACTCAAGAGAATCCCTGGGGAAGGAAGGAGAACACACCCAAAACTTAAAATGTGCAGCTCACAAATAAGGATAGACAGATCAAAAAAAGGAGTCAATTACAGTGGCGAAGCCAACAATTCCTCCATGCTGTCTCAAAAGACAGTGAGCATTACCATCTATTTTAGGCATTGAGATCAGTAACAGAAAAAGTCCAAAGTTTCTCTCAATTATCCAATTTGAAAAGTTAAAACCCGGTAGGGCTTTACAGTGGCATTTTGGTGATGGTCTTCTTTTTGTTAAGGTAATCAATATATTATTTGACCAGTTAGTGATCCTTAAAATGTGATCCCTAGGCTAACAATATTACTTGGAAACTTGTTAGAAATTACAAATTCAAAATTCATTCCAGACCTACTGAATCAGAAACTCCAGGAGGCAGGGCGCGAGCAATCTGTTTTTACAACTTATCTGGTGATTGTGATGCACGCTACAGCTGAGAATCACCGGTCTATAAAAGGACAAAGATTTCTTAGCAACAGCATCTGCTCGCTGCTCTAAGAGCAAGAGCACTTTATGGCCCAGAAGAAAAGATTTCAGAAAATCCAATTAGATTCTGGAAATCTAGCACTGGGCTCAGCTCTGTATGTTTCCAGTATGGCCATGGCTCAAGCTGTCATAGTGAGCAACAATGTGGAGAAAAGACAGACAACAGAAAACTTAGCACAAGTGTGGGTTAACATTAAAAACGGATATTCTCCAACATCTGTCAACATGAAGACCCGAGGAAAAAAACTTTGTTCTAAAGGCAAAAGAACAGCCGTTTAAATTTTAATGCCCATGACTGCTGAAGAAATATCTTGTAAAAGGCGGGCAGAGGACCCCTGCTGATGTGGGAGCTTGCACATAAACCAGGAGCCCTGCTCAAGGGCAGTTCTTGATTGAAACACAAGAAAGGAATTTCTTGTTTTAAAGGTTCAGTCTGCAAAGACAGTATCAGAAGAGATCTCAGCAACACTATGTTGGAAGGCAAGGCAGGGAGAGCTGCGGTGCGGCTGGGTGTTCAGCGCCTGCTGCAGGAAGGAGGTCCTGGACGCCATCCCCACAACGCAGGGGCTCAAGCAGCAGGAGTGGATGAGGTGCAGAGAAAGCAACAGGACCATTATTAACCTTGTGCAACACGCAGAAGGAAAGGGCACGGGCAGCACCAGGCACCGCTGAAGTGCAGAAGCCACAATAAGGAGGAGGGACAGCAGCGATCGGACCCTGCTCAGCCTGAGGCCTGCTGGCAGACAAGGTACAGGTGCAAGAGCAAAATGAGGAGAGTATCAGATATATGCCCCAAATGGCAACTGCTCTCTGACACTGGGCTCCTGATGTGCTGGCACACAGCCCTTCTTCTTCCAGGTAAACAACTCTATAGAAAACATGACCAACCACTAACCCAAGCCCCACCCAGGGAATCCTGTAGTGAAGCTCAAATTGGAAAACTGCTTGTTGAAAGCTGCTGACCACAATGTTAGGACTACTGGTTCTAATCCTGAGCAAACTATTAAAGGTTGGCTGAAAGAAGCTAGTGAACAACAGCAACAGAGAAGCAGTTTGCAGAATAAGAAATGACTCAAAAGAAATAGAGGGGAAATAACATATTGCATGCACAAAAGAACAGTTCATATTGAAAAGGAAACATTAAGTAGCATAAAATCTGATATTAAAAAAATGACAGCAGAAATTAAATACCTGACATAAAGGTAATTAAGCTGCACCTTTATATAAAAAGAGATCATACAAAGAGGATTAGGGGCTGGCCAAATAGCTCAGGAGATTAAAGCGCCAGATGCAGGGGCCAGGGGTTCGATCCCCAGGCCTGCCTTGCCAGCCCTACCCCTGGGCATGCTGAGAGGGCAATGGAGACTGGACATGGTGGCACACCCCTGTAATCCCAGAACTTGGGAGGCTATAAACAGGAGGATCACTATATGTCTAATCTATGTAGTGAGACCCTGAACACCCTGCAGACCCTGCCCTAAATTCAGAAAAAAAATAAATAAATATAAACGAAAGGAATTAAATCAGACCTGTATATAGTCTAGGTACAAGTCCTTTGTCTGAGTGACTGTTGGTTAAGATTTTTTCCCAATTTGTAGGTCACCTTTTTACTCTGTTGGTGATTTCTTTCGATGTTCAGAAACTTCTCAATAAGATAAGATCCCAGTGGTTGAATTCTTTTGAAGTATTTCCTGTATAGTTTTTTTTTTTGTTGTTCAAGAACTTTCTGCCTGCCCCTATGTCTTCAAGATTTCCACCTACTTTCTATTCCAGAACATTTAGTGTTTATTTTAATGCTTAGATCTTTGATCTATTTGGACTTTAGTGCACAGTGATAAACCTTGATCTGGTTTTTAGTGTTCAGCACATAGAAAGCCAGTTTTCCCAGCACCATTTTTAAAGAGGCTATCTCTCTTCCAGTGAACCTGCTTGGCACCTTTGTCAAAGATAAGGTGGCTGACTGTGTTTGTAGTTGTGCCTGCATCTTCTAATCTGTTCCTTTGATCCTCAGGTCTGTTTACTTCCCAGTACCATGCTGCTTTTATCACTATAGCTTTGTAGCATAATTTAAAGTCAGGAACTGTAATGCCTCCTGCCTTGCCTTTGTTGGCAAGGACTGCCTTTGCTATGCTACATCTTTTCTGGTTCCAAATGAATTTTAGGAATGTTTTCTCTAATCTGTGAGGTATGTTGATGATATTTTAGTAGAGGTTCCATTAAATCTGTGTAACAATTTAGGGAATGCGGCCATTTTCACAATGTCGGTTCTTACTATTCAAAGGAAAGGAGTATCTTTCCATTTTCTAAAGTCTTCATCAATCTCTTTTTTCATGGTGCTATAATTTTCATTGCATGGATTTTTACTTCCTGTTAGATTAATTCCTAAGCTTTTCTTTTTTCTTTTTTTGATGCTATTGGGAAGGGTGTTGTCTCTTTAATGTCTCTCTCAGTGAGTTGGCTGTCTGTGTAGAGGAGTGCTATTGACTTTTAGGTGCTGACTTTGTATCTTGCTATGCTACCAAATTTGTTTATTAATTGCAGGAGGCTCTTGGTGGGGCTTTTGGGGTTTTCCAGGTAGACTACCA